TTTTAAAAACAATTCGATATGCTACGGGTAACCAGTGTAGGGCTCTGAGCAATGGTGTAATATGACAAAATTTACTTTCGTGAAATACAAGACGTGCAGCCGAGTTCTGGACTCTTTGCAGTTTTTGAATCTGATACGCTGGTAAGCCATATAAGAGGCTATTGCAATAGTCAAGGCGGCTAGAAATAAAGGCATGTATCAGAGTTTCAGTACATTCTTTGCTGAGATATTTCCTTATCCTCCTGATATTGTACAAATAATAGAATGCTGCAGAGCTTGTTTTCGTTATGTGATCGCCCATTGATAGGTTAGAATCTAACCACACACCCAGGTTTCGAACGGGAGATTGTGGAGCAATGACAGAGTGTCCAACAGTTATGCCATCAATTGTGATTTTAGCGAGTTGCTGTCTGGTGCCGATCAAAAGAAGTTCCGTTTTGGCATCATTCATGAACAACTTGTCTTGAGACATCCACTGCCTGATGTCTTGAATGCAATGTTCAACAGAAGCAACTGCATCAGCCTGGCCAGAGTGCGCCTTGGGACTAAACGAGATGTATAACTGAGAGTCATCGGCGTAACAATGGACAGTTGGGAGGTGCTTCTCCACGACGTCAAACAGTGCGCTTGAAACTTAAAAAGAAATAAAAGCAATCAACCCCACAACAAAAGTTTCACCCCTATCAATGATGTCCAGTTCTATTACACCAAATGATGAGTAGGGTATAGCTTACAGCTACCACTTGTCTACGGTGGGGCTGGGGCTTAAAGAAGTTCTTTTGCACTCGCCACGGTGGTAAACGGACAATGTCAATGATCGCAAATGAAATCCTTCGCCTGGGGCTATGCAATGCTTACAGCTGTCCATGGCTACCACTGCACATGCACAACCATATCGTTGATACCTTTGGTACCGTGTGCTTTGCCGAGGTATAGTTCTCATTTAAGAATGACATGAGAAATTTGATTGGGTATACATTCATTATATTTCCATAAAAAATACTGCCAATCAAAAAGGTAGAAACCCATTGAATTTTCTGCGGTATGCAATAGGTCGTATTCACACACACGCCCTCACAAAATTCAAAATTCCAACATGTATCAGGGCATGCATAAGTCCAGTTAAAATTAATACCTATCTTTTCTCTTTTCAAAAGGGTAACTTGCTTATTTACATTTTTACTGATATTGGTGGAATTGATGCTACCCATATTTTCTTGTTTATAACATCTGAAAATAACCAGCTCCCCCCCTCCCCTCAAAAGTCAAATGATCGTCTCAATCGCAGAGAAAATGTAGACACAACCCCTTCTGGTCCATGAGTCCGCCATTTTGTCTTTTTTTGGTCGAAGACGACTTGCTACTGAATAAAAACTTGATTGGCTATCCCACAGGCAGCCCAGGGTTAACTAAGCTGAATCGGCTTACGTGCAAGGACTCACGTCTGGGCTTGGCGCATTGCGTTTTCAGATTTGGAGGAGCTTAGTTTTCGGAACTTTGATTTCTATATCCTATCTCATCGTGACTAAACTGGCCCCCCAAACATGTCTATAGTGGCAAATAGGCCAAAATGACAATGTAACCCCCCGGGTTCACTTCCGGAAAGTTGACCATTTGTAATACATGAATCCATTGAGCTTGCGAACCCAATTTGAAACGGAGCCACTTTGAGAATACTATTAGATACTACTCTTGGTTTGTTCACTAACCTACATAAGTAATGTGGTGATTGTTTTCTTAAATTTGCGCTTACTCACTCGTGGAAGAAAAAAAGTTTAGTTCCTATAAGATGTACTCACGCAGGTCCACTAGGTCCATCGATTTCCCTCAGGCTGATAACTTTCCCGTTGTTTTCGGCACGAGCAGTTGTCGATCTTTTCACATGTTTCCGCGAGAATCCAGCCGAATTGTAACACAAAAAGAAACGATACAAAAAGGGAAAGTTTTGCTGCACTGTTATGTTTCCTCTCCATCGAGTAAGCGTTTATAAAAGAAAAATAGTTTTAATCTTGCATGCGTGACCCACGTTTGTTGAGTAGCGCAGCCTGGTCTGTTTCACTAGGGACTTTAAGAACCCAGGACGCGGTGAGTCGGAGACGCGACCGGAAGTGACTTTTCCAGTTTCGGATGAAGAGCGCATGCGCTTGGCGTTTTCTCCCGCTCTCGAGAACGCGGCCTGAAAAGATTTGGCGTCGTCTGGAAAACGTGAGTATTTAGCCTTGTTACTTAAAGCAAATCACTATAATTACCAGTCTATCACAACTATTCTGTCAATTGGAATTTAAAATTTATTGCCTCTTCAAAGGTTACGCATCATTTTTGAAACGAAAAGGACCAAAGTTGAATAGTTTAAAACGTTTTGTTCCCTCCAGGTGAGCAAGCACATGGCGTCGAGCAGATCTTCAAAGTAAGTCATCTAATTATCCTTGAAATGTTTCCCAAAATCTCATTTTCCTTCACAGTTGAGGGAAATTATCACTACATTCATGCGGCTATTCTCATGCTTGATACAATTTAGTTGTCAGGCGTCCTAGCATTCTACTTGGTCTTCTTTCTGTTTTTGATTAATCCAACGAGCTCCGATGTGAAATATCAGAATAAAACTTTATCGGTTGTTCCATCAACGGATGATCGATTTTAGCTTCTTAAATAATTTAGCTAAGACTATTCCGTTTTTCTAGTTGAGTCTCTACTAGATCCAGGCTTGATAATTCATGATGATCTGAAATTGCATTTCCTGATATTGAGTGTGATTAAAACTCAACTAAAGAAAGCTTATTAAAGCTAACTTTCAAAAATCGCCCACTATAAGAGGAAACATAAGTTTAATTAGTTCATTACCTTGACTACTGTCATAAAACGTAGCATTTCGAAAGCTAAGACTTTGACATTTGTGTTATGTCCATTTTTTTATTTCTTTGAAATTGTTACTAATGAGCCATGTCTTAGATAATACTCTGAAGCGAAAACAAACCAAGAAAAATTAGAACTAAAGAGAGATTGTATTTGAAGTTAGATGATGTTGCCTATCTCATTTGAAGTTTTGATAATGTGAATCTTTTAAATTATCAACGTTAGGCTTTGAATGCATTATTCCACTGCTGTTATTCCTGAAAGTGTAAGTTATGGGTGAGGTCTCTTTCCCTCAGCAAGGCCGCTTTTTAAATTTGTGAGCTTTAAACGTCATTAAAGAAAAATCTCACTTTTTTGAACAAGCATAAAATTAGCTGTGAGATTGACAACAGCATTTAGTTTCAATTCAAAAGAAAGGGTTTTTTTGGAGTGAATTTTATTCTAATATTCTCTTTGTTTTTGTTTTCACACAGCAATGTTATGTACTGGACTGAACAGCAAAATATTATACTGTGTAGAGAAGTAGTGTTTGAAAATCCCTACTTATACAAAAAGGGGTCTCCCCAGCGCAGTGAAACTTGGAAGGAAATTGTAGATGTTCTAAACAAATGTGCTTCTCCGCAATTTAATGTTGACCACAGAGCCATCCGGGACCACTGTCTTGGTAAACAAGTACAAGAAAAAAATTAGAGCTGAAGAAAGAGCGTCAGGAATATCCCCAGATGAGCCAAGTAAACTAGATGAGCTAATACAGCAAATTATTGCACTTGAAGAGAGTGCTCCCACAGATACATGTAGTAAGGATAAAGCTGACAAAGCTAAAGCAGAGGATGTAAGAATGAAAGCTATGGAAAGGCTTTCCCAAACCAAAATGAGGGCGTCAGAGGAAGCCGAAGAGGGTGAGGACAAACCAAAACGAACAAGAAGAAAAACTGGAGATGCCATGGAGTTTCTAAAGGAAAGAGCACAGCAGAGTGCAGAAATTAGAGAAAAGGAACTTGAGCTGGAAAAGGGAAGACAGGAACAACAACTTAAAGTCCAACAACAACAGGCTGATATGCTGAAGCTAATGCACCAGCAACAACTGCAAAATCAACAGCAACAGCAGCAGTTTCAGCAACAACAGCAACAGTTCCAGCAGCAACAAATGCTCATGATGCAGCAGGTCATGGGCGTCATGAGTAAAATGCTTAACAAGTAGATGTTAAATTTCTATTTGTAGATGTTTATATGTTTAAGATTTACATTTTTACAAAATGTTGAACTCAGAGTATTATTTGCCACCCCTTTGTTTAGATCTGCTTGTTGTTACAATCCCTGCAAATAACACACAACAACTGTTCAATCAGGATTTTATGCAAGATTTTATGTAAACTTAGGCATTGACAGGTGTTTTTTTTTACAGTAATTTAGCTAAAGTAATCGACTAGTGATGGTGGGTCAAGGCCAAAGTAGTCAGCAGTCGTACTGCGGTAGAGACATGTTAAAGTATTCCGCAAAAGTGAACAAACAATGTACATTTTTCCTACATGGCTAAGGCCAATTTTGAGATTCTTTTTGTAATCGAGAAACTTGAAATAATTTATAAGGTCTCCAAACAACCATTCCACACTTGTACGTACAGAACTCATAGATGCATTAAACTCTTCCATTTGTCTTGTTAACACCCCATTTCTGAAGGGGCACTGCAGGTGGGTACGTAGAGGATATGCCGGATCCCCGTAGATACACATCTCCTGTCCAGCAGGGGAAAAGGCGAACTGTGCCAGGTCAATATAGAGGCCAGATGTGTCCAGCATTCTCGCATCATGCATTCGTCCCTCTGAACAAGAACCAAAAAAATTAATTTTGAACCAGAATCAGTCACACATTGGCTGGCTGACAAACTGTTACCTATATAGACCATTGATTACCTTAGTAATTGAGTAGGCAAAAAACAACATAGGATTTGCTGGCTATTATTCTTACAGTCCAGGTACTTATGGCCTATAAGTCAGAATTTATAATTTATTTGTCTGTGGTGACAGGACAACCATTTCCTCTAATAACAATTGAAAGTGGGAGCTACTGAAAATACCTCTGATTTGAGAGACCAGGAGAGAGTCATCAAGAAACGTCAGATTAACATTACGAGAAAAGAAATCAATCTAACTTTTAAGTTCACATAAGTGATAAAAATGTCTCTCCAAGTAAAAACAGCTACGGTACTATCCCACTATAAAAAATGAATGAATATACCCTTACCTACTGGTCCAAACAGATGGTCAATCAATCCATTTGGTAGGGCCAAGGATTGAAATTTAAGGGCGTGAAAGCGCTTGTGACCATTGTAAACAGCTCTCTGATTGACTCCTGGTTTTGATATGGGACGAACCGTTCCATCAACAAAGCCGAAACAGTTTTCCAAGGCGGCACCTTTGTCATGAATTCCTTCAGAGTAAGTTTGCAGTAGGTTAGGAGACATAATGAAATGATTCCATTCGGTAATCCTACGGCCATGAACATTTTACATCCATTCAGTGACTTCATTGCTAATCATGCTGAGCTCGGGTACTGATCGACCAAAAGTAGAAATCATATCAGACAACCTACATGGATAGCTAAAGCGCTTTAGTATAACACAAAGTCCTTCTGTTGAATCACAAACGGTACCATCCGGACATGTGAAGGTATCAGGCATCTGTAAAACATCCACCAGCAATGAGATGTCACTCTTTTCAAATCTGAAGTCTGCCTTACACTCTGCGGGGTCTTTGTTTTCGAGGGAAAATTTTTCGTAATCCCAGTGGCGAAACGGAAGGTTTTGTGGAGTGAATTCTTCATACAGCACGGCAAATTCTTCGTCATGTATTAGCTTTTCTTCCAGACTAAGGAGCAAAGCTTCCTGTAAAGTCTTAAATGAGTTTTGAGTCATTCTTGTAGGGAAAGGTGAAAAGCGTTTTACTGTTTTCCAGACGATGACTAGTCTAAATGATCGCGTTCTTGATCTTAACTATATATTTCCCGCGCTTAGTACGCGGTGCTCGCCCCAGCCCCACTCTCGGTCACGCGTTTTCCAGACCACCGCGTTGTCGGTTTTTAAAGTCCCTCCTATACCGGGAAAAACCCGATCGTCTGGAAAAGCCGGATCGGAACAAATTCAAGGAAACTGGGAATGTTTCTTACAGGTTTTAGTAGGTTCCACGATTTTTGGGCTTTTACTGTGGTTAAAATAGTATAGAACGCTTCATCAGAATGGCCGAATAAGCAAGGGCAAAATTATCCCAATATTTTGTTGCAGTAGGAAGAACATTTTGCTATTCTGTTCCCTGCTAGCAGAGGTCTCTCATGCCTCGTCGTGAGAGACCTCTGCTAGCAGGGAAGCTATTCTGATGAAAACACATGAAAACAGCGAAAAGCTTGATTTTTCCACGACAAATGAAATTACATAATAACTTTCGGAAGATTGACTTAAGCAACCCGAATGAGACAAATACGGCCTTATCTGAAAAAAGGTGACTTATTTCAAGTTTTATAAAGATCTGTAAAGGCGAGCGAATTCGACAACAAAGTATCATATTTCTTGTTTTGGGTGCCATTCATGATTTTTGGAGTTTTTCAGATTTTAGCTACAGGTTTTTAATATTGAAAAGTAGGAAAGTGGATGCCGGAAGCGATCACTCATCCCTGAGAAACGCGCCTAAGTTTTTTTTCTGTCTAATAGTCGGTACTATTGTGGTCATTCAAAGAAAAACTCTGTTTGCTTCTAACACAAAGATTAGAAGTGCTTTTGTAAATGCCAGAAAAAGGAAAAAAAAAATCCCCGACGAAATTATTGGTGGGGCTGTAGCCTACACAACCCCATTTCCGATTTGCCCCTTAAGCCTTTGCTCAAAACGAGGCTAAGCGCGAAGCTATTGATTTGAAACTGATTTTTTATTCTCATGGAAATGAAACTCATCTTCCCAACAAAGGTTTTGCACTCAGTTGATTTATAGCCTCAATTTGAAAATGAGAGTTTTTGGAACTCGGAAATGGCCTATTGAACTCGTTTTCAGACATTGCCATTTGAAAAGCATGTAGCTTCAAAATAAAAGGTATTTGTCGAACAAGCAATTCTCTTACAAATGCTGTGTTTTTACCTTTAAACTCCTCCATTTCACTAGGAGAAAGGTCGTATCTATCAAACCACGTCGTACAAAAAAGCCACGAAACAAGCTTAACTTAACACCTCCGGTTCAAATTCCCCACCCCACCAAGGCAAAGGCGACATTCCCCACCCCTCTGGGTTCAAATGATGGTCAAATGCCCAGGATTTGCCTGGGGCGGGAGATGGTGAATTTTCCCAGCAGGGTCGTTTACAAGCTCGTCACGCAACGCTGCTCCGGCTCCACTAGACTAAAAGTAAATTGTAGTAGTTTGCCCACGAAGCGCTAGGATTTATTGAGAACTCGTTTTAATCGTGTCCGTGCGTTCCAGATCGAATTGGAACCTCTCGGAGCAAGGGAGAGAACCAGCAACAATCTCAAACCACATATGGCGTCGACACCGGGATTCATTGGTGGGAGGCGAGTGCTCACACCACTGCGCCACCCTTGCTTGCTGATTCGGCTCGTGATTCTCGTGATTCTCCTGTGGCCACTCGACGCATGGACCAACCCTTACTGATATTTCAGCTGATTCACAGGATTGAATCATTCGTGATTCCCGTGATTCTCGTATGGCTCACGAATTTCTTCTGGCATACAGTGTATCAGCTGATTTCCGGGCTGCTGCTGACAAAAAGGCGAACAGGGCAGCTGACAGGGCAAGTTGGTGGAAGAGCTGACTGATCGCGCTCTGAGCCCTGAAATGTCTTTTGGTTATGATGAGGACTTTGTGAGTCTTATTGACGAAGATCTACAATGTTCAATTTGTTATCTGGCTTTGCGAGAACCGGTTCTCACCAGATGTGGCCACAGATTCTGTAGGCAATGTCTCGACCGACACATGGCGAGGTTTGTCTTTTCTTTTTATTTTCGAAAATAACGTTGTCTCACTAAGGTAGTGTCCCACTTAAGTGTCTTAATAGATATAAAATTAGTAGTAAATTGTGCTTGTGTCGTAAGCTTATAAACTTATATAGGGGCAAATGCAGCAGAAATGTCGGTTAAAATGGTTTCAGCTGAATGGTTTCAACCCTCAATGACTCTGTTAACCTTCTTCATTCATTCAGGTTAGGAGACAAAAGAAATTGACGTTGTTACTTGACTTATTTTTAACACCATATAACACCAACGTTCGGGGAGGGGACAAAAAACGTGATTTACAGGTGCAACTTATACAGTGTAGGGTCAGCCAGTTAAATTTCTATAAAAGAATAAATAATTTTTGGGCTGCAAACATAAAATAGTTCTGAATTAAACCTCAATTTTGTGCACTGAAGCTATGAGGCTGATCAATCACTCGGTTGACTGGATATTTACAATGGCTGTACCAAAATCTTCCTGGATATTGTGTGCATGAAGTTTGGCAAACTTGATCAGTAAATTTACTAAGTTAGTGAATTGAAAATCTAGAGCAGAATACCTCATTACCTAGTGAACAATATTATGTCCTATTTCAGAATGGGATGTCGTTTAAATTGTGAATTTCCTTAGCTTGCATAGCAGGTGGTTTGTTTGTTTGTTTTTTGCTGTGTTTTCCATTTGTGTTTTGTAAAGTAAGAATAGTAGCCAGTAGCCGCACTGTTTACGTAGATGTCAACTGACCCCTATTAGGCTATGAGTAACGTCTGTGAAGCAACACCGATTAAATCCTTGTTCTGGGACCCCAATGAACTCAACAAATTACTGGAAATCAGTGTTTTGAATTTCCCTACAACGTGATTGGCAAATTGACAATGGCTTTTTGAACAGGCCAATCATGGTCTGTACCTCATATCCTGATACACAAGTAGGGGCCCAGAACAACAATTTTGGCACTGTTTCACAGATAGACTACTAGAAGTTTTGGTTCTGTCGGTGGTGCAGGCAACAAATGGATACAGCCACATGAAAGCTGAACCAAGGTCAAATGACAAAACAAGGAGAGAGGGGGTGAGGAAAAGAATGTTCTCTCTCTGCCTTCTTTGACTTCTTTCTCTCACCCCCTTCCCAATCATTTTCTCATTTGACTCCTTACTCTACCTGGTTCAAATTTGGAGTTGCAGGGGGACACCCCACCAAAAACTATTTCTATATATCTTTCTATTACATCAATCATACTTTTCAAGTTCTTAAGACAGTGAGAGTTTTAATTTTAGCTGTATTTATGGTACATCCAGATAAGCAGAAATGATATTAGAAACTGTAGCCATTGAAAGTTAACAAATTAATGTCCTCAATTTTGCTGCTATCATGAAGAAGTATTGTCACAAGAAACAATCACCCCTTGGCTCAAATAAGCATTATTTTTGGATCAATCCTTTGCAATAGGTCCTTGTAATATTTTTTGCTTTTAAAATATCAAGAACACCTGTCAGTACATTAAGAATTTTCATCGACAGGCAGAAAAGTCAACAACAAGTAGTCAACTGTCCTATTGACCGAGAGCGGCTCGCACACCGTAAGGTAAAATATCACTATGATTTTGTAGAACTATTTTAGGATCATTTTTATTACATACCCACTAAAAAGCCATGTTGGAAACTCTAGCCATTTACAGGCAAAGACAGTATGTTTTTCACACAAACTAGTACATGCTTTCAGAATTATTATTACGAACAAATTATGTTTTTTATTGTGTGGGAATTAATATAGTACATCCCATCAAAAGGCACAGAGATGTGTGAGCTTTTTTGCTCTAAGTTTCCTGTTTTTTTTTTTTATTTATTTATTTATTTTTTTTTTTATGGGTGCCTGCAAGGCTCTTGCTTTGCTAGTTGCATTGGCTGCTATTCAATGATAACATTGTTATAACATTTTCTTGATATTGCATTAATTATCTTCCAAATTTGCTACACACTTGCCGCTTATGAATAATTAATTGTGGGATTTGGAGCAAACAGAAATGGAGAGTTATTTTGAATAAATAATAATAATACTTATTGGATATGATGTGAACATTCTGATTTTGCAGATGCTCTTATACATTAAAGTATTTCAAATAGATAATGTAAAATCAGTGAGTAAATCGATCTCTACATGACTGAGAAAAATAATTTAGGCGTTAAAAATGCAAGAAATGATCCAGGTCATTTTGGTAATATAAATCTGATTAAATTTTTGTAGGATATCTTCCCTGATAAAGCAACTGGGAGGAAGATTCTGTCCTTATTATAAGATGTCCAAATACTGGATGTGATTGGACTGGTGAACTGAGAGAGAAAAAGGTGAGTGTAATTGGCATGATCTCCACTTGCACAGCCTCATGAGCTAGCTTCCATAGGAAATAAGCTCATCAAGCAACCACTAGGCTACAGTGTACTTTGAATTCTTGTTAAGCCAACAAAAGAAGAGTAAAGTTTTTAATCTGAATTATTTAGGTTGACTAGGGTGGTAGGACCAGTGTACTTAAACTTTCAATAGGTGGGGGTACATCAATTATTAAAGAGTACGTGGATGGGGGCTGTAAGGAAAGTTGGAACTTAAGTGCAAGCTACTTTGGTAAACAAACAAGACTTAGCTGATGACATCTGTTGTTCAGTCCAGTAAAAATAATAAGGGTTTCCTGAAAAAAGGGGGTTATTTGCTTATCATTGATAAGCAAATTACGCCCTTTTTTCAGGAAACCCTTCATTTTTTATTTATTATTTTAAAGTGAGATATTGGTGATTTTTATCTTATCCCCTTTACGGCAAGACAAGACAGCTTGTACTATAATTTTTTTCCAGAGAACATTTTTAAATTATTTGTAAAAATTTATTTAGATTTAGGCTATGTTCACACTATGCATGAACTGGAAAGCTTTTTATGCTGACACAAAAGCTATCCAATATAGTATGAACACCTATCCTTTAGAGATCGGTGTGGTGCAGCAGTTCACTCTGTCACAGAAATCATGCCATGTTAACCCTTTCACTGCCAAATTTAGCAAAAGCAAATTTCGAGCAATTTCAAAATTTAGTTTTGTGAAATTTTGAAAAAAAACAACACAATATTTGCTTAAATTAATTGATATGGCGGGCAAACAAGCCGAAGGTTAAAACAAAAGTAAAGAAAAAGAAAAAGGTTTTATAGCAAGTTGTTGGCCTAATCACATGATAAGATAATAAAATTATTAATGTGCATATTTGATATTTTTAATCTCCGCAGAACCACTTTGATCGTTGTAAACGGAAGCCCCTAAAATGTCCCAATGTCTGCGGTTCATTTATTGCTCGAAACAAAGTAGGTACATCTGTACAATTGTAAAGAGTGATTAAGTTCATGATTTTGGGCCTAATTTTGCAGGTAAAAAATAGGTTCTGTATTCATGATCATGAGCTGTTCATTTGAAATCTTTTTAGATCGAGTCTCACGTTGAAAACGAGTGTCCGCTGACAGTTATCTCCTGTCCTTATGCTCTGATGGGCTGCACAGAAAAGGTGTGTACATTACGCATATTGTGGTTGTGTTATTTTAGAAAAAAAAGAAAGATATATTTCACCTCTATGGATGCAGGTACCTAAAACAAAAGACCTCGTCCATAATTCATAAAGAATTCACAAGAGAAATTTAAGTTACAGTGAGTGTCAAAAACTGATAAAACCTGGCTGACTTTCTACTTTCAATCCGCCGCCAAACACTCTTCCTTTCCACCTCTAAGCCTCCCCCCTCCTCCACTGCCGACACTGGAAAAGACCTGTTGCCAATCGTCTTGGGAAATATAAAAACCCGAGGACCAGCAAAAAAATGGATAGATCTAGAAACAGATTTTTGAGCCGCTCAGACTATGGAAAAGCTATCCGGTATAATGTGAACACCAATCTGATGTGCCGTGACTCTCTTGCCTCAGTGACTCACAGTTAGCGTTTTGTCAAATCTAAATCACTTGGCGCCTCGTGTTTTAAACTTATATTAGAACATTGTTTAACTAATACTGGTGTAAGGTTTTCTGTTCGCTCAATCCTTGTATAACTAACCCCTAAATTACAAAGCTGGGTTGGAGTGGCTACCTACTGTATATGAGGGCTCTGAATAGACAAATGACTTTGAAAACTTGACCTTTTACGAGGTATCTATCAGCGCAAAGTGTTGCATAATACTCCATGGTTACTCGATAAAACTTCAAGCATCTAGGTGCTTGTTAGGAAAGCATGACGGTCTAATAATGACTCACCATGTATGATAACGTGGCCCTTTGTCAGTATAGAAGTGTCCAGAGTAAAAACAAATCCAGGGGGATGCAGAGGGCGCTAACTTTAAATTTCCCTTTAGTAAACAGGAGGAGCACAATTTCGGGCGTGGGTTGGGGCTACCATTTGGTAGGACTTTCGGTACGAAAAGAATATTCTTACCAAAGCAACAAGGGTGATCGTCNACTTGACCTTTTACGAGGTATCTATCAGCGCAAAGTGTTGCATAATACTCCATGGTTACTCGATAAAACTTCAAGCATCTAGGTGCTTGTTAGGAAAGCATGACGGTCTAATAATGACTCACCATGTATGATAACGTGGCCCTTTGTCAGTATAGAAGTGTCCAGAGTAAAAACAAATCCAGGGGGATGCAGAGGGCGCTAACTTTAAATTTCCCTTTAGTAAACAGGAGGAGCACAATTTCGGGCGTGGGTTGGGGCTACCATTTGGTAGGACTTTCGGTACGAAAAGAATATTCTTACCAAAGCAACAAGGGTGATCGTCTTTTAACATGAAATCTCTTACAGCCATTATTGTAAGCCGTGCAGCGCAACGCAACTTAATAAATAAAAAATTGTAAACTGCGATATGCGCAATATCATGTTAACTGCGCAATACAGTATCTCAGTATCTTATCCTGTATAACTCGAGCAGACCTTGCTCACGTGCGAGACAACGATAAGAATTTCACAAGCATAAGTTTTTTTTATTTCTGCGATAAACATGTAACTTATTTCTAATTTATGTTTATTTCTGCCAAAGAAACAGCACCTCCACACTCAAAATATGACACAGGTTAATCGAAGTTGAATGAGCGAGAAGCTACCCACGGGCTTAGCGCAGAGTTTGTGTTCCGTTTTTTCGAGTGTTAAGGGACTGAGGCCTGTCTCTCGAAACTCCCGGTAGCTTTTCAAATCAAACCGATCTTAGGAATGAACGCGCGGGTCCTAGCCAGCAAATGTTAACCACAACTGTTTTCCGGGCGCGGTAGTTATCGGGAAACGGGCTCCTGGTTTGAAAGGGCTCTTCTACTCAAGTTATGAACTTCCTGCTTTCGTGAGTAACCACTATTGCTGACTCAAAAGATGGTCAATAACGGGATTTCATCCTTAAAACAACATAAAAGGAGAGCAAACTTAACAAATTCCTCTGTAGTAACTAACAAAGATCCTTCATTTTTTGTGACCATCTTCTTTATTCTGATGATCTAAGTGCTTAGTAAAGCATTAAGCATTATCAGTTAAGCATTATTATAGGAACAACCTAGATTCTGGCCATGGGTCTCAATTAAAGCGTTAAGTTATTAATTCATTCTTATTCGTTTATAATCAGATTCAGCGAAACAAAGTTGAAGCTCATCTGCAGTCTACAGCGAGAATTCATCTGGCCTTAACGTGTTCAACGTTTAAGGAAACGATGGAGAAGCTTGATGTACTCCAGAAGCAAGTGGGAGAATTCAAAGAAACACTTGAAGCCACTAATTCGTTTGTCACTGCCAAGGTAGATGTCCTCGCGTCAAAGGTGGATGCGCAAAGTGGCGAACTGGCATCTTCTAATTCTGCTCTTAGGGCTCAAATTGATGCTGATAAGAGAGAATGGAAAGCTGTCAATGTCGCTTTGATTTTTAAGGTGCATTCACAAGCAAAAGAGGTCGCGAGATTAACCAATGCGTCTCCATTTGTGTGGAAGATAACTGGTTTTAGCGACGTCTTAAAGTTGGCTAAGAATGGACGCACCAAAAGTATATTCACTGAATTCTACACCGGAAAACAAGGCTACAAGTTAAATTTACGCGTCGATCCAGATGGAGATCAAACAAAAAGGAACAGATATCTATCATTATATGTTGGCATTATGAAAGGCGATTACGATGCCATTCTTCCCTGGCCCTTTTGTGAGCAAGTTACTTTCAGTGTAATCGACCAACAACCTGATGCTGCACAGAGGAAAAATGTTGTTGTCGTCGTGGGGCCCAATGAAACACCTGGTTTTTGTTGTCGGCCTTCCGTGGAACAAAACCCGAAGCTTTCTGAGTTTCGCCGGTTGATATCTCATAAGCTGCTAAAAACCCGGCGCTATGTTAAACACAACACGTTGTTACTTCAGGTTGAAGTAGGACGCCATGATTCTGAGAGTCGTGATTCAAACTCAGATTCTGTGTAACTTTCTTTGAAAAATTTCCACTTAAAAGGGCTTTTAGCAGGTTACTACATAGAATCGCAGGTTCCTCATCTCACAACGTTTGAACACTAAGCATTATGCTAAACACAACACATTGTTTCACCAGGTTGAAATTGGTCCTCACGAATGTGGCGATTCGGAATCCAATTGAGCCCACTATTTTCCCTTTTTTTAGTGTGATGAAACGTGTACTTAGAAGGACCGTACCTTTGATACCCATTAAAAAAGGTGAGGAATAGCACCAACGATCTTAACGTGACGTTAGTTTGATTAAACTGACACAATCCTCTAAAAACCCTCACAGTGATTGCTCTACGAGAGGAAAAACCAAAGTTGACAAAATTACAATGCCATCTCAAATTAAACAGGTAGCAGTTGTCAGCCAGATCCAGTCAAAGTCCATTTGGTTATCTAAGCGTCACGCGGTGATCACAAGCTCAGCACTACACCTACCAACGAGATCTGACTGGGTTTGTTTTACCTTTGCGTTGGTTGAGAGAGTGGCGCAAGTATCTTAGCCAAGATCACCCCGGACCCAAGGATGCCGTTGCGGATCGGTTTGCACACTACTGTTCTTTTCCATCAAACACTGTAGTTAGTTCGTGTCTCGTCAAAGAGCTCAAGTTGGGTCGTCTCGGCTCTCTTAAGAAATGTCACTCAAATTCCAATTTTGAGTTGAATTTTTGTCTATTTTAACTTTTCAGAGAGTCACTATTAAAATCGTCGTGTTAGTATATTATTTTAGTCAATTGACTCATTACAAATACCCAACCCTACTGTATCTGCGTCCAACAAAGAGCACCGTGTGGCAGCTTATAATATGAAGTCATGGCAGTGAAAATAAAGGAAAGTGATCACGCTATAAGTCACGATACGGTCTTGAAACCAATGTATACGAATATCTAATGGATATGTTCACACTTTACCGGATAGCTTTTACGCCGACACGAAAACCAAACCGGATAGGGCTTCTGTTCACACGTAAAAACGTTGATTTCTGTAAGATTTCTGTGACGGAGCGAAGCTGTGCTGCGCCGATCTCGAAAATGGAAAGTGACATATCGGATGGGTTCTGTGCCACACTTTAGAGCAGTGTGATCAGGTATTCGGACCGTGGCGGAAGTGAATAAGTAGGGGCGCGCGAGGACTGGAATCCACTTAGACCTTAGTAATTATTCAGGGATGAGGGCTGGAATTTAGTGAACCAAACTCTCTCAGCCAACCGCGCTGGCACGATGTTCGATTTGTGTGAACGACTTGTTCCAGTTCTGTGCCTTTGCTGTTCATACTTCACCCGATAGCTTTTCATGGCAAAAAAGCTGTCTGGTATTTTATGGTCTATCCGATATTAGTAAAATCCAACTAGTGGTCTATTATCAAGGCTGCGTTCTGATTGGTTAAACTGCTACTAGGCTATATGTTGTAGCCCACTAATAGCGAAAAGCGCCGGCTTTGAAAACCATAACAGTGTCGGCTGATTCGCATTTTGCCAGCTAAAGTTGTTTTGTCTCGATATTTTTGACCAGCTAGATGGGTTTTATTAAAACAATTATTCCTCTTGCCCTCATGGGGTATTGGCTCAGAGCCCATTCGGGCTCGAGGGGTAATTGTTAATCAGTTTTACTTTAGATTAATTGCGTTCTTTGTGCCCTTGAAAAAAAGCAAGGACGTTAGAGATGATCATGGTAATTTATGCCTAGTTCAACAGCCAACTTTAAAATATCTATGGCCCAGTTAATTTCAAGTGTGTTCAACCCTCCTCCAGGCATTTGTTCGGTATTTATTAAAGCGTGCGTCGTTCCCACGGTGTGGTATTTTTCTTTGTTGAATGTTACATTTTTCTACCACTTTCAAAATAGATTCAATTTTCGGATAAAGAGTACCCACACACAAATTTCTAATAAGGAAAGATTTGATAACTCACAACTGCGGGTTTTATTGAAATATTGCCATCTTAGCCAACCTAGTCAGCGCGGAAACCGTACGCATGGTCACTGCAGCAGATTTTGGAGAGAAGAGCAACCTGTTACGGAGAAAAGGCCACGGGGGCTAAATTTTCGACTCCAGAAAAACTTGAAGAAAAAATTGTCATTCGGGATTATTATTATTATTATTATTATTATTATTATTGTTATTATTATTATTATTATTATTTTTCTTTTCGGGTGGGGGGGGGGGGGTATTGTTTATAAGCATGGCAAAATCACATCACAACGAGTTTTTTGTCTGATCGGTTGAAAGGTGGCGCCAAATTTTAAGGTACAACGTACATGAACGATCTATCATCTTGTTTGTCTGCGACATTCCCAAACTTATCTATTTTAATTTTGGCATTCTTTGGAGCTTTTGTTATTCAGTGACATTTAACTGGCTGGTTAATCTGAAATTCTCCCTGTCTACAGAAACATTGACCAACTGGGTTAAGAGGTCAGAGGCATTCTCAATCAACTGTCACTGAACCGCGTGGCAGATGTCAATTGGGGTGGGGAGGAAGGGAAAAGGGGAATATACATTCATTCTTACATGTTACTGATTGGTTTTATATCGTATAAAGGGTAAAGACAAATTCTAAACCGTCCAGATTTTGAGAAGGTTGGTCAGTTTTATTCTACACGGATTAGAAAATTCTCAAAAAAAGAAATAAACGCTTTGCGCTCGTTTTTGGAGAGGGCGGAAAATCTGAAATTTAAAACATGTTTTCCTTTCTTTGGAGGAAAATTAAAAGAAAAAAAAAAACAACTTGTCGTTAGGGGTATGCGCCAGAAATTTACTAAACTATATCGCTCTCTCTGTGGGGTTCCGAAATTGGGCCAACACCTTCAATTCGCTTTCTCTGTGGTTATGCGAAAATCGGAAACATCTTTCGCTCTTAATTTGATACTGTCTGTGTGAAACAACTGATTTGCTCAAAACAAACTTGTGCTTCTAAGTGAAAAGAGAAATCCTTCTTCTCAATTTTAGGACGACTTTAAGAATCCAACCGCAAAAAGTGTATATTTAATTTTGTGCGCGTTATTCAATCATTTCCGAAGAATTTTATTAAACTGCCAGGTCAAAATCAATTATTCCACTTAAGTTAAGTTGTAAGTTTACCTGTAAAAATTGTCCAATGGGTCATTTGCACTTTGGCGTCATTTTACTACTACTACCAAAATACTCAAGGGTTTTTTTTTTTCTTTTTGCAATTTTGGGATTTTGTTAAGTAAACGTCACTGGAATTTACAAATTAAAATATGAAAGAGAAAACAAAAATGAATTCTGGTCTTAGTAGTAAAAGCACATCACTGTGCAATTGGTCAATTTTCTTGTGATTTCTAATGTTTGCACCCAATTTTCCACAATGTAATGCATCAAATTAGTTTGGAACGCGTTGTTCTTAGCAACCAACACTGGCCTTTTCGTCGTTTCGATTCTAGCTAAAGGAATGTCTTCTATTTTGGATTTGTGGCCAAGTAAATAGCTCCGTTCTGGTAAACTTTTATAGGGGTAGCTTCATTTTTTTTAACATTAAAATGATTGTTCTTGGTTGTTAAGTGACCACCCCTCACGGACGAGAAATGACAGCCAGTATGTTCCTTAGTATAAATAATAGAGTGCCTTGCGCGTTGACTTATTTATACACCTGCAGACATGGCGAGATTAAATAAAGTGTTTCAAATGAAGAAGTAGGGAAAAAAAATTCTGATTTGCCTTGTGGTTATGACGAGATAGTTCTTCATCCTGTTGACGACGATTTGCAATGTTCGATTTGCCAAATGCAATCCACTTTATGAGGTCCGGTTCTCAATAGGTTTGGTCGCTGATTCTGCTGAGGTTGACTGGAGCGATACACGGGAAGGTTTGTATTTGCGCTATAAAGACAAAAAGCTTCGCGATTATGAAGTAGCTGCTAACTTGTAAGCAAAATTAAACAAAAAACGCTATAGCTTACTTCCCTTTCGCATGAAAACTTAAGGCTATACTGGGAAATGAGAGTGAGTTATCCTGCGAGAAAGTAGTTCTAAAGAAGCACACCCATTTCAGACTATTGACATATGATTCAAAAGTGAAGTACGATTTCAGGCAAGAACTCAGCTGAGGAACAGACTCAACCTCGTGCGCAGGGTCTTCTGGCTTTCCAATATAGAACTCTGATAACTTTTAAGGAATTTTGCAAGAATGTCCCCCAGGTTCGAAACCGTAGTTACAAGGGATTTTCCGAACGCGTTCATGCCATTTTAAAATAGAGAAAATATTAACAATCTTTTTCGGGAATATTCCGACGTCAAAATCATTAGGCATAGACTATCTTATTTTGAAATTGTTTAAATAGATTTTCTATCGACGTAACGAACTATTGTCGTTACTGAATTATAATTTCTAAAAATGCTTGGCGTGATTTCAAAAGACGTGAGATATTGTCCTGGAATTTTTCTTGGGTTGAGGAAACATGCTAACGGAAACGTTTTTTTTTTCCAATCGAAACACCTACGAAAACTTATTTAGAAAACGTTCAGGAACGTTTATTACTTACCATAAACAGAAACGTTTTTTTAGCGGCCGAAGAATGAATGGCCGTTTTTATACTAAGGACGCATTATCCGTCTTGACGAACTCGTGCAAACAGTATTTAGTTCGTCTGGTTATGCGCCTCTAGTATAAAGACAGGCACAAGACGCATTATGCGTCCGAGACGAACTACTTTTCGTAGTGCGTCGTTCAAGACATATTTCAGAGGAAAGTTCGTCCAGAAGCATAATGCGTCTTGTGCCCGTCTTTATACTTGAGACGTATAACCAGACGAACTTCTAATGTTTGCCCAAGTTCGTCCAGACGGATAATGCGTCCTTAGTATAAAAACGGCCAATGTTACTAACCGAAAAAAGATCCAAAGTATCATGAAGACCTTAAAAACTCATTGGTTAATGCCTTTTCCTACGTTAGACTTTGGAATTTTTCTCTTGATGTTGGGTGCAGGAAGTTGAAGCTTCAGCGATTGTGTT